GTTCCTGCCAAAATCCCTTCTCCTCCATTCTCCTCTCGGGATCTTGGGCACACATGCACACGTGCCCGGTGTGAGTTTTAAGCCACCAGGTCCGGGACACGAACCACGGTCAACTACATGGGAGTCCAGCAACACAGCCATTATGCTAACTGCTGGTTCCCATCAGTATAAAATCTTCATTCCGTGAAAAATCTAGTTCGCTGTAGCCATGTGGAACCTTCTTCTGAAGGGCCGGCTTCTTCTGCCTGGGTGGGAGGACCAGAGCGATACTTAAAAAGATTACAGGTGATTAAAAAGGTGGAGCTAAGAGCCAGAGAAAAACTGCCTTTTTAAAAAAGTGAAAAAAAGGAAAAAATTCAAAAAAAAGAGGGAAGGCAGAAGGAGGGAGAGACAGGAACCGAGACAGAGAAACAGAGATAGAAGACTGGGGGTGCGGAGGGGGGGCTCCCTACCGCTAGCTTGTTTTTTGGAGGCTGAATTATCTGTACAAAATCTTCATTCCCTGAAAAATCTAGTTCGCTGTAGCCATGTGGAACCTTCTTCTAGTTAAACTTTTTTTCAAGAACAAACTTGTTTTGTTCTTTATCTTTATTTTGAACTTCTTTTGGTAAATGTGTTACTATCATGTGACATAAAAAGAAACAATTTGTAACATATATATACATACACACACACACACACACACACACATATATAGATAGAAAGATAGATAGATATAGATATATATAAATTTAAAACACTTAAATTCTTTTTAATTTAGAGAGATTTTTGCTATAGGGCATGTGTGCTTCCAGAGAGACAGAGAGAAACAGAGACAGAAAGTAAGAAATCACCCCCAGGCAGGATGATCATGCTGCAATCCCTTCTCCTCTTGGGATTATCATGCTGCAATCCCTTTTCTTCCATTTTCCTCTTGGGATTTTGGGCATGCATGGATACACCCCTGGCATGAGTTTAAAGCCTCTATGTCTGAGACTTGAACCATGGTCCACTATATGGGAGTCCAGTGACATAACCAATATGCCATCTGCTGTCCCCAGCTTTTAAATTCTAAAGAAGTTTTCTATTCCTATTGGGCATGTATCCTTCCAAGAGAGACAGACTGTGAGAGATGCAAAAAAGCACCCTCATATGGGGAATGAACTGTAATCCCTTTTTCATTTCTCCTTTCTTTTGGGATTTTGGGAATAAATGCATACACATATGCCTGGCATGTTTTTTCAAGCCTCCAGGTCTGGGATGTGGGCCATGTGGAGTTCAGCTGTCTTATTCAGCATGCTGTAGATCCATTACACTAGAGTATTTTTAAAAGAATTATTCATTTAATTTTGCCTACTATCTTTTTTTTTCAATTTGCTATGGGTTATGAGAATTTATGAGAGAGAGAGACAGTGAGAGAGGGAGAAAAGCGAAAAAGCAAGCTCTCAGGTCTGGGACTCAAAGTGCAGTCAGTCATGTGGAAGTCCATAGACATAGACACCATACCACTTACAGGCATCATTAAGGAAATTTTTAATAAAGCATGTTAGTCCCTTATTTTAAAATTTATGACATGCTTTTGCAAAAAAATATTAACTTTTATTGTTTATATCACTGTTCTTTCAGTCTTTAAATTTTTAAAATAGTTGAAGTAATCTTATTTTTAACATATCTAGGTAACCATTTATACAAAAGTTCTTGCTTTTCCTAGAGTCAAGTTCAAACTTGCTCAAAGGGCTAACCAAATGTTATTACTAGTATAAGTAGAAATAAAAATGGAAATGAATGTTCTGATCTTTATTTTTATGTTTCTATATTATATTTACTTAT